GGGGATAATCCGGACGCGCGTGTCAGTGCGAGCGAGCATGGAACGGCCGGGGCCCGGGAAGGGGCTGTCGGCGGGTGCAGCATGGCGAAAGGGGGTGCTCGGGCATGTCCATCGGCAGCGCCGCGGCCGGAGGGACAAAAGGAGAGCGAGAGCCGGAGCCGGGGCGAGGGTGACAGAGAACCGAGAGAAGGGCGGGACCGATGTGGGTGGGCACCTTCTCGGCATCGATTTCCTTGATTCGGGCACTGATGGCCTGCATGTGGCGGGGATCTGCGCGCATTCGCGTCAAGGCCATGGGGGAGAGGCAGGACGATGCACGGGCGTCCGGGAGAGGCCCAGTGCCTAAGGTCAGCGGGCGAGAGAGAGAGAGAGAGAGAGTGTGTGTGTGTGTGTGTGTGTGTGTGTGACAAGCCATGGCAGGTGGGTGGGGCCTCGGGGGGGACCGCGCCTGAAGCCGTATTTCGGTGGGGATACGCACCTACCGCCGCGTCATTGGATGCCTGCTCGGCGCGGCTCAGGGCCAAGCGAAGCTGCTTGCCCTCGTGCGCCAGGCGCACGGCATGGACGTGGATGGCCGCGCGCGAGCGCGCCACCCAGGCGTCCGACTCGTTGAAGCTGCGCCATGGCCGGCCCATCAGCAGGTGGGACCACACCCACGACGAGGGCCACGCGCGATGTCCCGGTGTCGAGGAGGCAGGCGCCGCATGTCAGTGTGTGGCCTGGGAAACAGGAAGAAGCTCCATCTGCCGGGATTGTCCCCGACCCCAGCCCCTGGCGCCCCTCGCGCTCTCGCGCTCTCCGCCCCGGCGGGGCCACAGGAATGCCCCGCAGGAGGAACAACGCACCGACGCTGCTGCTCGGTGTGGGCCTTGCGCCAGCGCTGCAAACGCTTGGCCAGCTCGGTGAGGAACCGCCGGCTCAGGCGGGTGCCATCCTCCGACCCGCCGGCCAGGGCTCCGACCGGAGACAGGACGCCCACCAGGTCGGCGGCTTTCTGCTGGCCGCAATCGCACTGGCACCGACCGACGGAGCCGGCCCCAGCGCCGGCCGCCGGGCCATGAGCCGCGCGGCAGGGGCTGGCCCCGGCCCCTCGGGCCTCGGCTAGCTGCGACTGGGTGTGACGGAGGCGCTTATTTACGCGACTCAGCTTCGGGTGGGATATGCCCGCCCCGCCGGAGTGGTGTTGGTGGTTCGCGATGAGTGCCGCAGGGGGCGCTGGGTGTCAGCATGTGCCGAGTTGGCTGCGCCGCCCGGGGGGAAAGTGCAGGCGAGGGCGGACACCGGCAAGCCGAGCGCGTACCTCATCGCGAAGGAACTCGCTCTCCAGCTTTTTCTCCGTCAGCGCTTGCTTCAGGTGGAGGTTTTGCGAAAATCGATCGAACGGCGCGGAGGAAAGCTGGACATTGCGGCAGGGGGCAGGGGGGGGGGCGGGGGCGGTGCGCTAAAAAGAAACCCCTTCGGCGCCGGTTTTCAGGAGGAAGCACCGGGGCCAGGGCAGAGGCAGGGGCAGGGAGGCCGTGCACAAGAACAACGCACAGCCTCGATGATGCGCCATGCGGCCTGGGCCTCGGCTCGGCCGAGGGCCTGGGCCACCTCCAGTTGGATTTCGATTTCCATCACCAGGGCGTCGGTGTCGCAGTGGAGCTCGGCCGGGGTGTAGTACCGGACGTAGCCCCGGTCGATGGCGGCCAGGGCCAGCGGCCGGCCGACAAAGTTCCCGGTGCCGCTGGGCGGGCTGACCGTGGCATCGGCCCGGACCGGGGTCGGGTCCTCGGTCGAAGCACCGCCGGGGGCCGCGGCGGGGGGGAGATCCTCGGATTGGTCGGCCGGGGCGGGGGCCGAGCGCCGCCGACCCCGGTGGGCCGATGCCGCCAACACCGGCAGCGGCCCATCCTCCGCCGGGTCGTCGGCCATGGCGCCCGACAGGCGGACGGTCTCGCTGGAGGCAATGCCCGCCAGGGGGTCCTCATCGTCGGGGTCGGGTCCGGTGTCGGTCTCCTCGGCCTCGACATCGGTCGAGTCGATGTCCATGGCCCGGGAGGAGGAGGCCGCGTCGCTGGCCGCCGACGGGTCGATGCGGGATTCCTGCAAGGCTGCCACCGACATGAGGGCCGCCACGCGGGCGCTCTCCGAGAGGGCCATGTCCGGGGCCCGGGGCAGGACCGTGGCCGAGGCCGAGCCCGGGACAACGGTGGCCCCCGGCGGGCCGCCGAGGGCCACCTGCGATCCCCCGGCCGCCGGCCCGGCGAAGTCCATGGCCGAGGAGCCGGCCGCGGCGGCGGCCCGGCGGCCGGCCGCTCCGCCGCTCGGGGAGAGGGTTTGTGCGAGGCTCGTGGCGATGGTGCTCATGCCGGGCGAAGTGAAGAGGGCGCTCAGGGAGGCCCGACGCCGGGGCCGCGACCCCGGGGACAGGCCATCCCCCGGGCCGGGCTCGCCCGGGGACAGGTCCGACAGGTCGGCCGACGAGGCGCCGGAAGAGACGCCCCCGGCGCCGGCACCGCCGCCGGTCCCCGGGCTGCTGTTGGCCGGGACCGAGCGCCGGCGCCAGCTGGAGAAGGTCGACCGCGAGGTCGACCCGCCGGTCGGGGTGGCGCCGGAAGTCGGCGGCGTTCCGGGGCCACCGGCCGACGCCGGGTTGCAACCCGAGGATGCGGCGGTGGCGGCGGCGGCGGCGGCGGCGGCGGCGGCGGCGGCGGCGGCGGCCGATCCGCCGCGCCCCTCGAATGACACCACCCTCGCCGGGCCGGTCATCATGTCGGTCATGAGCTCCAGGTCCGAGCGACTTTGAGCCGACTCGGTGATGGTCGGCAGGCTGGGCCCGGGGCCGCTGCGCCCGGAGGAGTGGTGGACCTGCGAGTCGTAGCCAGCCCCGGAGGGGCCCATGCCGACGGCCCCGAAGCTGCCGACCAGCGAGGAGGCAATTTGCGCGGCCTCCGCCGGGGAGGGCCCCGAGGAGGTGCCTCCACGAGGGCCGAGCGAGCGATCCCCCACGCCCGTGGCAGACCGGCTGCGAGGGGCGGCCGCGGGGCTCGGCCCGACGCCGGGCGACGGGCCGCCGGTGGCCGCCGTGGCGGTGGCCGCCGCGTCGGACATGCTCTTTTCGCGGCGGAGGAATTTGTGGCTCGGGGCCTCGATGGGCGCGGTGGCTGTGCGCCCGGTGGCCGGGTCATGGCCGACCCCCAGAGCCGACGGGTTGTCTTCCGTGGTCATGGCGCCTTGCGCCGGGCGGCCGGAGTCCGGCAGGCCTGCTGCGCTACTGCGGGGCGATGGGCGAGCGCGGGACGTTGCGGAACACCGGCCTTCAACCCGAACACCGGATGCGAGAAGGGGTGCTGTGTTTCGGCCGAGGGCGGAGGCGGGGAGGCGGGGAGGGGGGGGGGGGAGGGATGGCGTGCGTGCCAGTCGGTGTGCATGCCCGCATGGGCGCATGTGGTCGTGTGTGCGTGTCAGCGTAGATGGGCGATGGGGAGGCATATCGCGGGGCCGGGGGAGGCGGCGGCGTTCGCAGGGAGAGTTAGAAGGCCGTGTCTACGTGGGGAAGGGGCCCGGGGCCGGGGAGCAGGCCGGACGGCAGCAAGGGAAGACCGAGGGCCAGGGCCGCGAGGGAGAACACATGGGCAACACGCACAGGGCTGAAAGACACCTTGGAGGGAGGGGGCAGGGCACGGGGGAGCCGGGCTGCGCTCTGGGCGACGATGTGCCGGAGAGTGGTGTGGCGAGAGGCCAAGCGAGGAGGCGCCGCCCCGGCGAGAGGAAGGCAGCAAGG